TAGGGAAAATGTTTGCTTCCTTCAGCAAAGACGGCAAATCATCTACCCTTATATCCTTTGCTGCAAAACAAGCAAGTAGACAGTGTCTGTCTACAGAGGGCTACTTGTGGAGAGCTGTAACTCTGTAAGCCCCTTTCAAGGGCTGCTACCCTCCTCCTGATTCTTTAGTAGACCACAGGGCTCTTCATGGTGCCCTATGCTGAGCTAGTCATCAACCCCAGGGCAGCTGGGAAATTAATTTTCAGCAAATAAGTCCTCCATGCAAGTGGAATCTAGCCTTCCAAAGGTCAAAGGACTAGGTCTTTCACTTATTTTTTTTTTCCTAACTTTATTGAGGAACAAACAAAAATTGTGCATATTCAAGGAACAGGATGTGATACTTTGACATATGTACTGATTGTAAAATAATTGCCACAGTCAAGTTAATGAACATAGCTACTACCCTGCATAGTTACCTTTTTGTATGCATGTATGGTGAGAATACTTAAGATCGATTGTGTCAGCAAATGTCAAGCGTAACAAGACATTGACCATAGTCACCAGGTCTCCAGAACTTATTCATCTTATGTGAAAGGTAAGTTGGTCAAAGGGTACAGCCTTGCTTCTCACTTCTTTGGGCTCTGAGAGCCCAGCACAAGGCTAAACACATACAAGACATTCAGCAAATAATTAATGAATGAACCATGTTTCAAAGGGTTTACAGCTATGGGTACATTTTATCACTGTAGTACTAAAGGTTAGGTATTAACAAATTATAAAAAATTCTTTACTCAAACTGTAGAAAACATTTTGAGCCTTATTTTGTGAGCCTTATTTTGTGGGTCTTAGGATTGCTTGGTAAAATATAGAACTCCTAGTTAAATTTGAATTTCAGAAAAATGCATGTAAGTTTTTGAGTATAAGTATATCCCAAATATTACATGAGACATACTTACACGTTAAAAAAAATCACTGATCGTCTGAAATCAAATTTAGATCAAGTACAGGACATACTATATTGTTATTTACTCAATTTAAATTCAGCAACCCTGAATCCAGTCTTTAAGCTATAAACCTGACTGAGTTTCCCTTCACCTTTCTTAATACCATTAAACTATTCTAACGGTGTTCAACTATCCCTTATTAAAATGAAAACCATATAAACCATAATCACTTAACCTTCTTTGGAGACCTATAGAGGAAGAAACTCCAGACCATATGCAATTCTGGATTCGTGCATAGAATGGTATCACCCACAGTGCCTAGCAAAGCCCATTAGGTTGAATTTGCATAAAAGAGAGAGAGAGAGAGAGAGAAATAAAAGAACAGGGTTTCAGCCATTTTCTAATGACATGGCCCACAAAGTCTTGGCATCACTGATAAGTAGCACTGTGCTGGAAAATCAATAGTTTCTGAAGGGGATCCCAGAGGGAACTTTCCATTATGGAGGCTAGAAATACTTTAGCCCCACACTGATAAATTCCTGGAGTTCAGGGTGCTCAGTGTCCCTAAGTAAGAAAGCATAGGACTCCTCCTAACTTCCTAAACTGCTGAGCTGGAATGATTGCTTTTAAAGATCACAAAAGGTATCTCATGTTAAAAACCGCATTTTCAGCTGCATCAAATACCAGTGATTGAGTTGGGAGATCACCCAAATTTCGGGACAGAGGCCCCTCTGCTTTAAGAAAGCCTGATATGCTAACAGATAAGCTTAGGCAAGCAGATAAATTATAACGGTAGCTATTTACATAAAATAAGAATTCACTGCAACACTCCATTAAATGCTGGACTCCCTAGTATCTAAAACGATGATAACATTTGCTCTCCCATAATGAATTCTCGGGTTTTTCAAAAAAATTTTTTGTATATTTGGGCTATGGAAGTATAAACCCTTGCTCACTTTGTCATTCCGCATCTACAGATATCTACAAGATGGTTTGTAGTTACATTTAGTTTCTCCTTCTTAAAACTCCCAGGTACTATTAGTTCCCATCCTACTATCTACAGGTGAGCACTGCCTATGGAAATCACTTCCCTTCAATCCCCTTCCTTTTCCCCAAAACTTGCAGGTAAAGCTTCTCTAAAACCAAGTAAACCACATCATCTTATTTTCACGCCTTCCTATGATAGCCTAACACTTTATGCACAGAGACATTACAAAATAAAATCCGCTGTTATCTTAACAAATGGAATCATTACTTGGGAAGAGCAGGGAAGAATCACGCAGTTCATTTTTTAAGACTTTGAGAATCGTTTTAGAGAGATAGAAAATCTGTGATCATACAGAGGGCTCCCATGTGCCCTCCACCCAACTTCTCTTTCCTACGTTTTTGACTTCCTATATTAGTATGGCACTTGTGTCCCAACAAACGAACTGATATCAAAACATTATTGCTTCAATAATGCTCTATTCAAATTTCCTTAGGTTTCCCCAAGTTCCCTTTTCTGTTGCCAGAGACCAGCAGGATCCCTCATGACAGTGAGTTGTCCTGTCTCCTTAGGCTTTTCTTGGTAGCAACGGTTTCCAGACTCTCCTTGTTTTGGTGGTATCAAGAATACCGGTCCAGTATTTTATAGAATGTCCCTCCATTTAGGTCTGATCTGATGCTCTTCTCAAGACCAGACAGGCATTATGGGTGTGGAGAGGAGGCCCATCGAGGCAGAGTGCCATTTTTATCCCATCCAAGGGTGCATGGCCATTTTGATCCCATCATGATGAGGATGCACGCGATCATTACGACTTACCACTGCTGATGTTGAACTTCACCACCTGGCCCAGGTAGTCTCCGTCGGGTTTCTCCAATAGGACGTTACCTTTTTTCCCCTTTCTCTTTGGAAAGAAGGCGCTGTGCACAGCCCACACTTAAGACGTGGCTGGTTAACCTCCCTCTCCTTGAGGGGGCAGTATCTACATTGATTATTGGAAGTTTTGCACAGGAAATTTGTCTCTTCTTCTCCATTTATGTATTCATTCAACAATTTGTTGATATCAGTGTGAATGAATAGCTATGTAACAACTTGGGTTAGAACCCAATACTGCTGATTTCTTTTTCTAATGGTTCCAGCTTTGGTCATTGAAACTTTTTCAAGAGGCTTCTATTTCCCTTGGTGTGCCCCTATGTCCCTTGGGGTGCCCCTCCTCCATCATTGTGATTGTCTCTCTTTTTTTAGTTTTCTGAAACTATAACATGCTGGATTTCCCTGGTATAGTTCCTGCTCCAGCCCTAGATTTAACCATTTCTCCAAGGAGCCCGGTTTTTTGTTTGTTTGTTTGTTTGTATGTTTAACTGGGAAATAGCATTGGAAGCCAAGATCTGAGCCAGCTTGGTGGCTCAACCTGTCATCCCAGCACTTTGGGAGGCTGAGGCGAGTGGATGGCCTGAGCCCACAGGTTTGAGACCAGCCCGGGCAATTGGCAAGACCTCATCTCTACAATAAATCAAAAAAGATTAGCTAGGCCTGGTGGCACGCACCTGTGGTTCCAGCTACTTGGAAGGCTGAGGTGGAAGGATCGCCAGAACCCGGCAGGTGACGCTGGGGGTGGCTGTGAATGTGCCACTGCACTCCAGCCTCGGTGATGGACTGAGACTCCAGCTCAAAAAAAGAAATCAAGAACTGGGCCCCGCTAGGCAAAAGCCACTATCATTTCACAATCATTTCTTCTCCCCTCTCCTAACTGGATGTATTTGTTATTAGACTGAAGGACACTGTACTCATCCTGCTGATCTCACACTTGGTTCTGAAAAGGAAATTATCATTTTGGACTAATGATCTGATGATTTTAACAATCCTTATTCTACTTTATTTTTCAAGACTATGATTTGGATTTCTCTTGCTTTTGCTTCATGGCTATTCATGTTTTATTTTTCACTCTTCTTACTGAAGGAATTGAACGTTCAGAGAATACAGTTCCTGGGGAAAAGAAGGATGCATCACTTCTCTCCAGGCTTAGCTAGATGAAGCCTGGTAGTTCAGCCCAAAATGGTAGGGTGTATCTAAGTCTAGGAGGAGCATAATATATACTGTGCATATTCAACCCTTGTTTAAAAGTAATTATGTGATGACCACAGACATGTGAGGGACCGGTTGCAGGAGAATGGAGAGGTTACAACAAAGAAGAGAATGATGCACCAATAACCATCATCAAACCAAACCACCCCCTTGCATTTTGATGATGTGCTGTAAATGTGAAGGAAGCCGGCTTTTAATGCCAGGAGTGGCTCTTTGACACAGGCTGTGACGAGCCTGCATTCTACCCGACATCGGGACTTCAAATCATGTCCACAAGTACGCCCTACAGGAGCCCAGGCCTATCGAATTCTCATGCTACTCGTATTGAGAAAATTTCCAAAATTACACAAAGGAAAACTTTCATAAATGTGCACTCCCTGGCAATTTGAAGAGGTGGGGTTACATTAAGTGCAATCCCAAAGGATGACTTCCTTGCCCTTTGTGTGTGTGTGCACACATGTGCACACACACTCACAGACTCACACACTCAGAGTACAACATACGAGAGTCTTTGACCGCTCTCTGTTCAGTTTCAACTTCCCCTTAAAATCCCTGGCTGGCGATATTTATCCCCCCCACCCTGGTTTGAGCACCCTGAATCCCTGAATACACCATGGACCCCAAACAAAACCTGTATAATCATGGGTGACAAAAATCACAGACCTCAGGGTACTCAGGAAAACTAAGGCCCACTCAGACAAGAGTCCTGCAGTCCAGAGCCATGAGTATCTACCAGAAAAAAGCTCTGACTTCTGGGTCACTTAAAACTGCTAAGTTAATACCCAGACAAACCTTTTTGGTGTCTATTAACTAGATGCTTTTGGAACTAATTGGGACAGACAAGATGGGCTGACCAAAAGCTGGATGTTTTCGTTTATTGTACTCCAATCAGGTCACTGATGGCTGGTCTTCACCACACAATGCCTTGCCTTTTCTAAGGGACATGGGTTGTAATTCAGAGGAATGATCTTTAGCCAATATAGACAGACACCATAGACAGCAAGCACAAATCAATAGAAAAAAATAACTTCTTTTTATTTACAAAAAAAAAAAAAATCCAAATATTGGATGCTGTAAACAAAATTCACAATCTGTTCCCTCTAGCACTGATTCAAACATGTCAGTTTGTAAGAGTCCCATTTTCCATCAGCTCCTTTTCTGCCTGTGACACAGTCTACAGTCAAAATTTCAGAAAAGTGACCCAAGGTGCAGTGGGCTGCAACAGGACGCCTCGGAGCAGGCAACAGTTGTAGAGAGGTTGGAAGGAGAGACAGCCAGTGGGCAGAGCCTCCTCCATTCTGAAAGGCTTTGCAGCAGGTCTCGGCCAAGTCAACTCGCCATCTTCCCACTTTGTACTTCACCGTTTGCTTTGTTTGAAAGCCATTCCTTTTAACAAAATACTACACGGAGATGCTTTCTCAGCACTGAAAAGGCTATGCTAAAAGAAATTTTAAAGAGAGGTTATATTCAACAGGTGCTATATATGAAATTACTTTTTTTCTGGCTTTTTGGTTTCATCGAACACAACTTCATCTTCAACAACAACAGAAAAGCTTATTTTTAAACCGCTGACAGCTTTCAACAAAATACGTTTCATTTACAAAATAGTTCACAATATTTATTTGACAAGCATTGCACTGAAAACAACTTTATGCATGGTAAAGCAACCAACGATAAACAAACAGAAAGGGGTGGGGGAAACAGTATGTTCACTCTCCATTTCACTTCCAGCCTTGGCTTAGCTGACAGGTATCCCACCATCCTTGCATGTCTGAAGCCACGTTAAAGTAGTTCACCCATGATCAAAGTGAGCGGATACGCGATCCCATTTCTGGAAGGGAAAGGTCCATCTTGGTGTAGGAGTTCTGGGATTCGCCGCAATTGAAGTAAACGTTTTAAAAGGGCATGGGCACGGGCGAAAAGTTCTCTGACACACCAGATTGGACAAGCAAGAAGAGCCTCCAGAAGATTAAAAAAAAAAGATAACTTCTTCCTGTTTTAAAGTAACAACAGCACACTAGGCCAGACACACAACAAACAAATCACAGGCACTGATCGGGAGTTAAGAGTTGTTCTTTTTTCTGACCTGAACACGACACATGACTTTCTCTCGTCAGACATTCAAACATTGAGGCCACACATCCACAAAGAGACACGTGTGTCACTGTGTTCAACTACACGTGCACCAGAGTACATACAAAATAGAAATAAATTATATGAGTCTCAAAAGTAAATGCTGGAAGTTGTTTAAAGAACAAGGCGGTTCTATACAATGGGGCGGCCAGGTGCTTGCACTTCCAACTAAGCTACCAACCCTGAAGCAAGCAAGAACAGAACATAAATATTTGGGAACATAAATGCAAAGTGTATTTTCAAATCAGGCTCCTCCACCCCAAAACCTGCATCATAGATGGACGGCAGGTTGCAGCTGTGGAAGAGCCAGAGACCCCCGGCCTCGTTAAGATGGCACACGACTGTATGTCAGGATGAGAAGGAAGCAGACCACCCATGCCCCCTGGGTTCACACACGTGCCCCGGGCCAGACAGCTAAGCAGGCAGAGCTCTGGCTTCCGGCAAGTGAGTGCCAGGCTTGATCTGCAAACCGAAGCATGCTTCTTGGGAACCTGCAGTTCGTTTTCCAAACCCAAGAACACGGAGCTCAGATGAGAGGCAGACGAGATCCCGAGAAAACTGAGTGGCAGTGCAGGGGCTGTTACAGCTCTAACAGAATTCACAGGGTCGCTGCGACAGCAAACCCTCGGGGCTCCCATTAAGGCTTCCAAGAAAGATGCCCAAAAGGCCGTCTGGATGGATCAACCTGGATTAACCCAGCACTAAGCATCTGAAGGATCTCCAGATAAACACATGCACAAACGACACTGCCCATAGGAGGGCACCATTGTCTGCCCCGTCCGTCTTTAACGGATGGGTGCAAAAAAAATCTTCAGATGGGTCTTCAGAGCAGTGACCACAGCAAGCAGGCATCCACTAGGGTGGGTAGGAGATTATGTGGTTGTTTCACAACATAAAGGGGAAGGTGTTCACGTGTTACTTTTGTTTTGAACAAATGCATTTTTAGAGACCAGTGTCTAGAGGAACTGATGGCCGGGAGAAGGGCGGTGTTAGAATGAGCTGTCACTGAGCTGAAATAGTGACGCCAGTTCACTTCACAAAGGTATGACTGGTATCTTGTACAAGAGAAAATAAAGTTGGATCTACTTTAATGCAAAGTGACTTAATTTAAAGTACAGTACTAAATATTTAAATGCAGTGTGACAACCAGATCAAAGATGTTCATACTGACATGAGTTTATAAAACATTATATATAATATATATCTCATATATAAATTTTAAGCGATTGTGCAAATATTCTTTTAAAAGGGCGATTTCACATTTGCTAAATTCTAGTGGTCCAGAAATGCAGAAAGCATTCATTTAAGAAAAATTCATTTAAATATTAATAAGTAGTGTTCAGATCACCAGAAATTCTTTTTAGCAGTCCGGGACGTAAGTAGCCTACCATTGAGCCACGATCCACTAAATTAAACATCATGGAGGCATGCAATTATATACTTTTTAAAAATGGGTTCAAACTGTCAAAATGGCAGTTCAGTGTAAAAAAAAAAAAATACTTTGCCAAACAATATTCTTCCATTTGTGGAATTATATGGCTCACACACACACAAAGAAAAACTCACTAAAACTGCATAAAATTTCTGCTCTTTCTATCAAATATATTACTTGTCTCCCTCCTTAATTTGCTTTAAGTCTTTTAGGTATGTATTTTAATTCACCATTGCAATATGCCCACGTCTCGTGTCATCCTGTTGAAAACATAAAAGCACACAGTATTTAAACATTTCCTATTTGATACACTATACATCATAGTCAATGTACTGTGTGTATATATAAACACATGATATACATGTGTGATATGTGTGTATATACACACACACACACACACAATTTAACACACGCATACACATGTACCTATGTTAATATCACACCGACAATGTTCACTTTACACAAGCATTTGCCAAGAAAAAATAGGGCATCTTCTCCACCATTCACAAGCTTATGTGTTAATTTTCTTCTTGACTCAGTCCCTGATAAAATAAAATAATGACACCGTAAAATAATTTTGCCACTTCAAATTTTCAGAAGGCAGTAGGCACTTTGATGTACATTGGTGTGTAACAAATATAGGAATTCTTCATATATTCTACTCTGTCTCTTCTACTCGGATGTTTTTATCTGTTAAATCTTTGGTCCTTGAGCATACTATCTTTGCCACGGCTGTTTCTGCTTGCATTTTCACATCTTAAAAATGCGAGCTATGCACGCAGCTGGAATTAATGGGTTGTGTCATCGTGAGTTCTGCTGTTTTGTTATAAGAATGGCACCAGCCTGCTACTATTCACTTGAAGCAAGCTGTTTCTGTGAGCGCAATGGACCCGCCACAGAAAAAGCACTTGGCTGCTGCGAGCCTCAGACAGGAATTCCAGAGCCGGAGTTCCCCTTTTTCCTGCCTTGTCGCTATGTGAACTCCTGAACCTATAAACAAGTTGGGGCTGAGACCTGTTTTCCTCTGTTTCCCTTTTATGAATTCCATCTTTAAAAAGCTTTCCACTCCCCACCCCACTTTGGCAAAGCTATGGGAGCAGACACAGCCAACCCATATTGTCAGCAAACATTCCTTCCCTTGTTATCTTAGAACCTGGTGGCTTTTAATAACAGGTCTCTCTTTTTTTTTCTTCTTTTCTTTTTTTTTGGCAGGAAAGGATCCCATTGGGTAGACGATTAAAGGGGAGGGCTGGGGAAAGGGATCCTTTCGAGACCTGCTCCCGAATCTATTAAAAGATCCATAAGCTTTTGCCAAGCTTAAAATCAGGAGCGTATTATCATTGCACAAACCAGCATGCCTCATCAGGGCCGGGTCACTCTTTTCTTTTTTTTTTTTTTTTCATCTTTTTTTCCTCTGTCCTACCTTGTCTGAAACGGCTTCCCCCGCAGGACATTTTCAGGGGAGTCTCAATTGCAGGGCAGCCAGGTGGAGTAGGTCTGTTGCTGGCACGTGAAGACGGGCTGCACCTGGGCGATGTAGTAGTTGCTGAAGTTGGCATCGGCGACGTAGGGGGCTGGCTGGTAATAGCAGGTGACATTGGCCACGTTGGGGATGACGTTCTGGTCGGCCAGCACCCGGATGGCCAGCATGGTGATGAGGTTCAAGGTCTGCCGTCGTTCGTGTCCCATCAAGCACACGGTGCTCTCGTTCACCACGCCGTGGAGGGTCATGAGATACTCGTACTTGCGGTCTTCCAGGCCCACGAAGTGGTTCTGAAGGTAGGACTCCAGCTTCCGCTGCTGCTCACCGATGTCTGAGAAGTCGATGAAAAACCTGGAGCACATGTACCGCTGCAGGGTCTTGATCTCGCCGGAGGCTGGCCGGAAGCCCCTCACCAGGAGGTTGCAGTACTTGAGCAGGCCCCCTCCCCGGATCTCCTCGGGGTTCCTGGTGGCGATGATCTTGTGGCACAGGTGGTCAAAGGCCTCCTGGAAGTCGCCATAGACGCTCTCCCCGATGACGGTGGGGTGGAAGGTCTCCGTCATCGGGTTCTCGGAACACTCGTAAAAGAGGAGCAGGGAGTCCAGCTTGATTTGGAAGGAATCCACGCTGAACTCAAACTGCCTCCGGAGAGAATCCACAAATTTCAGTTCCACGTTTTTGCCGCTGTTGTTGGACAGAGATATCAGACTCCACCGGTCAGAGTCATTGCACACCTTCACCATTTTCTGCACGTATGCTTCCTACAATTCAAAAGACAAAACGAGATGAGCAAACCTGGAAAACGGCAGCAGACAAATAAACAGACACATCCCCTTCACAGCTGAGAATTATTTTGCTCCCTTCTCTTCCGCCAAGTTTCAGCAAAACACTACCTACAGGCTTCAACAGCCTTCTGAAAACGGGGGAAAAAAATACATTTAACGAGTAGTTTCACTGTCTGGGAAAAAGACCAGAGGTAATAGTTTGAGGCTTTCGGCAGACACAGCATAGGGCTCAGAAGTTCTGCTGTCGTGTCTGACTTTTTAAATGTTATTTTTTGAAAGGGGTCTCATAGGCACCATATCCACACGCTACCCACGCAGTGTCCAAAAGACACAGAGGGACATTCAGCAATAAGCCAGTCTGCCTCTCACCCTCGTCCCGGCCACCCAGCGCCCCTGCCCCCGAGGTAGTCAATGTCATCAGCATCCGGGGTGTCCCCCCAGGGGTCTTCTGCAGGTACAATCAAACGCGGACCAATCGACGCCATCCTGAGAGGCTGCCTTCTGGGACTGCTTACATGAATCCCACGAAACCCGCCTTGACCCAGGGTGGGGGGGGGCGGGGAGGGAGTGCCACTAGCCCCTGCCTGCGCGAACTAGCACGGAAAACCGCCAGATCGATCCTGCACGCAGACACACAGCCGAGGGTGGCTACGAGACCTATTCACATTTTCCAGCGCAACCGAAAAAACCACGGACTCAGTTCTGCTCCCGGCTGCTTGCTGTCTTCTCCAAGAACCGACCCCGGGATGACTCAAAGGCAGCACTCGCATCCTCTCATTCTTCCAGGAACCAGAAATCTGCCCCGGACGGGCTCGGGCGAGAAAAGCCCGGAGCCCATGCGTAAAGGAGAAGGAAGAGGAGGGAGCCAAGGACGCGCATCAAGTCCGCCGGCGCGCGTCCCGGTCGACTTCTCCCCGACGTGCGCCCGGACCCACCGCCCCCTGATCCCCGCACGGGAGCCCCGAGCGCCCCCC